AAATGTTTTCGCGAATTTTTTTTTTATGTTTTCATAAATCTGACGAAACTGTCGAATAATTCTTCACTCTCGTTACATCGATTAGGCCAAGGACAAGTGCTTCTGTTTATATTCTGTTAATACACCGTTTGGTGGCGTTGCCATGGCGCCACAAGCGTAGCATATTGAAACCTGAATCGCGCTATCAAAGTTCCGAAGTAAATCAGTATATATAGAATAGCTTCGAACTACAACTCGGAGTTCCCTTCAAACTCACCAACGAGGACATCTTGGAGGACCTTAAGTCCCTGGGCTTCCCCATCAAGGTTGTGCACAAGATGCACAGCAATAAGAGCAAGAATTTGCCTCTTGCTCTGCTCGTCCATCCAAACGTGCTGTAGGCAAAGTCTCAGAGTCTCACTCAAATCATCTCAATCGCGAGGCAGCTATGCAGCCCCACTTCCCCCAACTAGCTTTCAATCTTTCTCAGGCCAAGTCTCCCCCCCCCATCTCATCTCGTAATTTGCCTTGCTTAGGCACACTTATCAGCGGCTACTCGCGGCCTGCGCCATCTTGTCCCCGAGAGGGGTCGCTTCTGATACAGCTGAAAGACTTTCCCAGGTCACAGACAGTCACAGGTGTTTAGTGGTTAGGCACTCTTGTTTTTATAGAGAGTCTCACATAACCAGGCAGCCGGCTGCGTGATATGCTAAGAGCATTCAACACCTCCCTCCCCCGCTTCCCGAAGGGTAGCTCTTTACTTTTGCTTTTGGGCGCAAAAAAAATGTTACTCGGAGCGTTGGGCTCCTCGGGCACAACCTTTTGCCCGGCGTTAGATCTCACCTTTTCCTTTCACGGCTAAACTGGTGACCCTTATAGAAGACGCTACACGTAAGATGAGCAACGGTATTGAATTGCCAGAGACGACAGCAGAACCAAATATATCTGCATGCCCATGTACAAGGCGCGGATGAGCACACGAGCAGACGTAAATTATTCGTTCGTTCCGTATTTGTAACCTTCGGTACCTGGAGATTTCTTTCAGAGCATCTAGAATCGCCAACTTCCCAGTAGCATACAAACACTGATCATGTCCCAGCCCGCTGAGTCATAGAAGGCGTTAGCAGAGTTAGCAGATCGTGTATATGACATCGTGTCTCCGCCACTCCAAGTCGCGAAAACGTCTCGTAGCACTGCAACATCTATTACCAGCTCGCAATCTGTGGTAAATCAAATAGTTGAACTTAAAGAAGTAGTCAAGAATCTGGTCATCCAACTAAATAGACGATCAAGACAACTTGATCTTTCCAGTATCAGAAATCGCAGACGTTCAACGTCCCGTTTTGGCTCCAGCTACAGAAGGTACCTAACTTGCTGGTACCTTTCTAAATATGGAGCTAAAGCGCACCGATGCATCAAGCCCTACGAATATCGGGAAATTGGGAAACGTCGAGAGCGGTCGGTGACGACGACGAACGACTCCAATTCATCGGGTCGCCTCTTCATTACTGACTGCCACTCCAAGGCTCAGTTCCTCATCGACACTGGAAGTGATGTGTGTGTGTGTGTGTGTGTGTGTGTGTGTGTGTGTGTTTCTAAGTCTGGTTGTACGCTCTGGTTGTACCCCTAACCATCATACTGTACATTTCATTCACAAAACTTCTAGAACTCCCATTTCATGCTCTTCTCGCAGGTTGTCTCCTTACAGACTTGCGTTAGCTAAACAAAAGTTTAATCATCGGATTCAAATCCCGCTCAAATATTTGTCGCGGGACTGGATTTTTGTCCCTGTTAAATATATGTATATAAACTGCCTCCACGATACATGAGAAAATCCTAGTGTGAGAGTAACTTTCTTTCTTGATTAAAAAAACTATTTGATTACAAAAAATACAAGCAATGTTATTAAGCTATTAACATTACTAATATTTCCGTTAATCACTCAATATAAGCATTTAATGCTTGCATAATAAGTAAAATACAAGGCACCGGTCGGATGGAGTGTTATTTACTCCACACTCGTGGGATAAAATATAGAAAAATGAAAATATATAATAACAGTAGACGTGGAAAAGCATGCTGAATTAGATTCAGATGCAAGCCTACTTGGCGATGCATCGGTAACCGCTTCTAAGAACTGACAGTAACGTGGGGCAGATAAGAGTCGTATAAGAAAAACAGTGTTGTTTGGCAACAAAGATGCTTTTGTGAATTTTAACTATACCAAATCTCAAACTCCTTCGTGTGGACATGTTGCTAAAAAGGGGGTTCTTCAATTAAGTGTGTTGTGGAGTTTCTATATCAGAAGCGGTGAAATTGCAAGAGTTGACTGAATTCCGGTTCAATTCGCAGTTTTATGAAATTGAAAATTTTTTTCTAGAAAACAAAGCTAATTTTAGCGTTACTTTGATATAATCCTCTGCAAAGGTCAGGCTAATCGCATTTTCATAAGTCGTTGAGTAAAATTTTAAATTGGATACCTTTGTGCGTTGTATTTTGTATCGTCTTCAAAAGGTCTTTCTGTTTATATTGCTTAAATAATTTATAAATATTTACTAATGATAATTTATAAATATTTACTAATGAAAAAGCATACGTATCGTTCACACGTATACTTTTTCACGATTGTCTTGATACATCATGCTTGACGTGACATGAAGACAATAAAGTCCACTTCTGAACATAGACTTTTTTCGTAGATTGCATGATATGGAGGTTACCACGCTTGGCAGGTGGGTTGGTAATCGCACATTTTATTAATAAGTTATTATCAGGATGATGCTGCTGCCCAACATCAGTTTGGTTTCCTTCTGTCACTTCTTACACATTACCACGTGATGATATGAGTTAAATTGGATATTGGTAAAATATATGTTTATGAGAGGCAATTTTTATTGCATAATGACGCACCTTCTCCTCTGTTTTTCGATCTAGAGATACATATGGAACTTGCAGTTTCTGAAAGTTTCTCTACTAGCTATTGAGAGGGCTATAAAGAGGGGTAAAGCAGGGGCCTTGCTGGGAGTTTCACTGCGTTACATAACCCGTAACCGTGATATCCCCAATATAATCAGACTAACTCATATTAGGTAAACGAATCAGTAACCTGAAATGACACTGAGTCGACCGTATGAAAAGACTTAAGTTGATGATAATGAACAAATGTGAATTAAAAATTCATCTACGTTCTTTATTGCATTTTAAGTGCAACAAAGATTTATTTCAAGAACGGCGTACCCCTAGGCTCACGCTTTTGTTCTTTTTTTATAAGATGTGGGTGACAAACGAGCACACAGTCCACCTGATGGTAAGTGGATGCTGTGGCCCATAGACATCTACGTTTATCCTCGATTCAGAATTTAAATGCAGGTGCGTTGCCAGCCTTGAGGACTAAGATGAAATGCCTCGTTTCCAGTAAAAAGGGTCTCCGGTTCTCTTCACTCACCACACGAAACACAGCAGCATTGAAATGCTATTTTACCCTGGTATTCTGTAAGAGCGTAGTCCTTACCCGGTCGAGCCGAACCATTTGTACTACAACCATAATATAGCTGCAGCATAGCTTTATCGCGTATAAAATGTTCATCTTATATATTTAATAGAAGCAATACTTACGAGTACGATTTCATTTAATTCAAGTAATTCGAGTCTAGTCGTCTCGTCAACTCGTCAGTGTATTCACAAGGTTCCAACTGAAAACCAGCGCTGCCTCTGCAGCATTATGCTGAGTTGGAGACCTATTTGATGTCACATTTTATCTTTAACTGCTTTTTTATTTTTATAAATTTTTTTTCATTATTAATTAACATCATGTATGTTCTGCTTATTAATTTTTTTAATGCGTAAGCAGTCTTACACCTGCGCATGCATATCCTTTGCTCATTGTAATTTATATTTAAATTTCTTAAATTGTGTGTAAAGTGTGATTATCAAATAAATGATTCTTTCTTCATAGGTATTGCTTTTATAAAATTTAAAACAAATTTTATAATTATCTTACCTCAAACTTAATAACAAAAGTGTGCAACAAGTATAAATTGCCACCAGAGATGATTTGAAGACTATAGGATATATTGATTGAAATTGTAAGAATTATCAATTTAACGTTTAGATACATAATACTCCCAGTATTTGACGTTGAATTCATTTATTTTTGCCACGTTCTTATTAACTCGCTTTTCTGTATTGATTAATGAGTGCGGGCAAACGTAGTATATTAAAAAATCATGATATTAAAAAATCACTTGTCATAATTTTCTATTGGCACTAATAATGTGGAAAGTCAATTTGGCTATCGCCACAGAGCTCAGAAGCGCAGGACGCGACGAGAAATGTGACAAAACTCATAAAACAGTCATTATATAAGTTTTATCATATTTATGTTTTAAATTTTTAAGTATTCTTTATAATGCAAACTGAATAGCGAAACAGCAATACGTCTTATTGAAATATATGGCTCCTATAGTCTATTTACGCGATGATAGACGTCAACAATCTGTGCATTTAATAAAGCTGTAGAAAAGTCGAGTCTGTAATTCTAATATTTTCTGCAAAAACATGTCCAGGGGGCTAAATAAGGCCACTGAATAAGACCACTGAAGCTAAATTAGTAGTTTTTTGAATGTTTGTATGTCTGTCTGTTTATACAAGATTCACACGAAAATTACTAAACAGATTTCCATGAAATATTGTGTGTAGGTATATAGGAACCCGGGGCTACTTATAGATTACTTTTTATCAGATTACGAAATTATAACAAAGTAGGGTTAAGTATTTTCCTTCCTTTAGATGTCAAATTCTATTTTATACGATTAATGTGTTTTATTAAAATAAATAAAATATTTATAAACAAAAAGAAATGTGTAAAAAAAACATCGCAAGGAAACCTGCATATCTGAGAAGTAAAAACATGTTTTGGAAATCATTTTTACTGCATATTTTTATTCCTTTGAGCTGTGATACGAAAGACGCTGCTGTCCATCTTACCTATGATACGAAAGACGCTGCTGCCCATCTTACCTATGATACGAAAGACGCTGCTGCCCATCTTACCTATGATACGAAAGACGCTGCTGCCCATCTTACCTATGATACGAAAGACGCTGCTGCCCATCTTACCTATGATACGAAAGACGCTGCTGCCCATCTTACCTATGATACGAAAGACGCTGCTGCCCATCTTACCTATGATACGAAAGACGCTGCTGCCCATCTTACCTATGTTACGAAAGACGCTGCTGCCCATCTTACCTATGATACGAAAGACGCTGCTGCCCATCTTACCTATGATACGAAAGACGCTGCTGCCCATCTTACCTATGATACGAAAGACGCTGCTGCCCATCTTACCTATGATACGAAAGACGCTGCTGCCCATCTTACCTATGATACGAAAGACGCTGCTGCCCATCTTACCTATGATACGAAAGACGCTGCTGCCCATCTTACCTATGATACGTAAGACGCTGCTGCCCATCTTACCTATGATACGAAAGACGCTGCTGTCCATCTTACCTATGATACGAAAGACGCTGCTGCCTATCTTACCTATGATACGAAAGACGCTGCTGCCCATCTTACCTTTGATACGAAAGACGCTGCTGCCCATCTTACCTATGATACGTAAGACGCTGCTGTCCATCTTACCTATGATACGAAAGACGCTGCTGTCCATCTTACCTATGATACGAAAGACGCTGCTGTCCATCTTACCTATGATACGAAAGACGCTGCTGTCCATCTTACCTATGATACGAAAGACGCTGCTGCCCATCTTACCTATGATACGAAAGACGCTGCTGCCCATCTTACCTATGATACGAAAGACGCTGCTGCCCATCTTACCTATGATACGTAAGACGCTGCTGCCCATCTTACCTATGATACGAAAGACGCTGCTGTCCATCTTACCTATGATACGAAAGACGCTGCTGTCCATCTTACCTATGATACGAAAGACGCTGCTGCCCATCTTACCTATGATACGAAAGACGCTGCTGCCCATCTTACCTATGATACGAAAGACGCTGCTGTCCATCTTACCTATGATACGAAAGACGCTGCTGCCCATCTTACCTATGATACGAAAGACGCTGCTGTCCATCTTACCTATGATACGAAAGACGCTGCTGCCCATCTTACCTATGATACGAAAGACGCTGCTGCCCATCTTACCTATGATACGAAAGACGCTGCTGCCCATCTTACCTATGATACGAAAGACGCTGCTGCCCATCTTACCTATGATACGAAAGACGCTGCTGCCCATCTTACCTATGATACGAAAGACGCTGCTGCCCATCTTACCTATGATACGAAAGACGCTGCTGCCCATCTTACCTATGTTACGAAAGACGCTGCTGCCCATCTTACCTATGATACGAAAGACGCTGCTGCCCATCTTACCTATGATACGAAAGACGCTGCTGCCCATCTTACCTATGATACGAAAGACGCTGCTGCCCATCTTACCTATGATACGAAAGACGCTGCTGCCCATCTTACCTATGATACGAAAGACGCTGCTGCCCATCTTACCTATGATACGAAAGACGCTGCTGCCCATCTTACCTATGATACGTAAGACGCTGCTGCCCATCTTACCTATGATACGAAAGACGCTGCTGCCCATCTTACCTATGATACGAAAGACGCTGCTGCCTATCTTACCTATGATACGAAAGACGCTGCTGCCCATCTTACCTTTGATACGAAAGACGCTGCTGCCCATCTTACCTATGATACGAAAGACGCTGCTGTCCATCTTACCTATGATACGAAAGACGCTGCTGTCCATCTTACCTATGATACGAAAGACGCTGCTGTCCATCTTACCTATGATACGAAAGACGCTGCTGTCCATCTTACCTATGATACGAAAGACGCTGCTGCCCATCTTACCTATGATACGAAAGACGCTGCTGCCCATCTTACCTATGATACGAAAGACGCTGCTGCCCATCTTACCTATGATACGTAAGACGCTGCTGCCCATCTTACCTATGATACGAAAGACGCTGCTGTCCATCTTACCTATGATACGAAAGACGCTGCTGTCCATCTTACCTATGATACGAAAGACGCTGCTGCCCATCTTACCTATGATACGAAAGACGCTGCTGCCCATCTTACCTATGATACGAAAGACGCTGCTGTCCATCTTACCTATGATACGAAAGACGCTGCTGCCCATCTTACCTATGATACGAAAGACGCTGCTGCCCATCTTACCTATGTAATAGTGGAGACGAACTGTCCACTATTAACAGACTCCGAGTGGTTTTCTTTAAGGTGGAGAAATGAAACTACTGTTTATGTTTATGAATGTACTGTCGAATGGGATTCGGAATGGAATATCTTTTGCATCAACCTTGCCTATATTTATATGGCTGGCTCACTATTGATTTGCCAATGGTAACAATTAATATTTTGCCTAGCCAATTATATTGCGTATTTTATGACCAATGAAAATTATTTAAAATATACAATTATCTACGTTTCGTTTCCCGGCGTGAGACTTGTTTGTTGTTCACGAAGCTACGTCGCTGGACCGGGCTATATAAGACATGCAGATCGGTGCGCACGCGTAGTCGGCGGGCGGCGGCGGTGTGGAATACAGCTCCGGAACAGCAAGAGGAAACGAACTGCGGCGTTGAAGAAACGGCTCACCATTGGTCGACGGATACGTGACGATAGCGGCGTGTGAAGTCGGTGTGGCGCTGAATGATATTTGCGGCTGCTTCTTGTTTCTTTATAAGAACGTCAAATTATCTATATACAGTCCGCAGTATCTCAGTAGCCAAGAATAATTAGGAAATAAAATGTTTTTTTTTTATTTATTCTCGCCTTCCGCGTTATGGTAGCAGCGGAGTATATCTTATTTATTCCCGTTTCGGTTTGATTAATCTGACTGCTACATCACTCTCCCCCCAGCGAAAGCGTACCGGAGGCTTGACGACTCGCCCGTATTTCGTAGTTTTTAAAATAGGTTTCAACTGGGTTGATGTAGATGATGAAGTTTCAAGCTTCCTCGCTGGTGGTTTTGATGATGATGATGAATCCTCTGCAGTATCCTCGTTAATAATATAGGCAGGCTTTAGTCGGTCGATCGATATAATCGTAGATTTCCTTCCGGGTATTTGTAGTTTAAAAGTCTTGCTATTTCTCTCTAATACTTTATACGGTCCATCGTAGGTAGGTTGAAATTGTTTTTTCATTGCGTCGTTTCTTACAAAAACTTGCTTGCATGTTTTCAAATCTTGGTGAATGAATACTGATTTATTATTTCTGTGTGATTGCATTTCGGTGCATTTCAACGATAAGGCTTTGTTAATTGATTCTCGAAGTTTAGTTACGAAATCGTAATCCATTTCTTGTTTGCTTGACGCTGCTGAACTGAAGAAGTCACACGGCAGCCTTATGCTGCAGCCGTAGGTTAGCTGAGCGGCGCTAAGACTAGTGTCTGCACGCGGTGTTGCTCGTAGTCCGAGTAGCACTGTAGGTAGCTCATCAATCCACTTTGTATGTTGAGATAAACGAGTTTTGAGTGCAGTCTTTAATGTACGATGCCATCGTTCGATTATTCCGTTTGACTGAGGATGGTATGCTGTTGTACGCGTCTTCTGTATTCCCATAGTTTGAAGAAGTTTGAGGAATAGGTTGCTTTCGAAATTCCTTCCTTGATCCGTTGTGATGGTTTTAGGTGATCCGAAACGAGTAATCCAATTTTCATAAATTATCTTCGCGACGGATTCGGCTGAAGTATCATCGGTAGGTATTGCTTCTGGCCATCTTGTTGTTCTGTCGATCATTGTTACGAGATAACGATGTCCTTGCGGTGAAGTAGGTAATGGTCCAACGATGTCAACGTGCAAGTGTTCGAATCTCTCCGTGGGTGGAAATGTAGCTAGACTACTTGATGTATGCCTTTGTACTTTGCATTTTTGGCATTGAATGCATTGCTTCGCCCAGTTGCCAACATCCGCTTGCATTGCAGGCCAAAAGAATTTTTTCAGTGATGAGTTTTCTTGTTGTTCTAACACCTGGATGACTAATGTTGTGCAGTGCATTGAAGACTTCGCGACGACATTCTTCTGGTATGTATGGTCGCATGGTTGTCGTTGAGGCTTCACAGTATATAGGTAGATGCGTCATTGGCATTGTAACTTGCTTGATGGACAAGTTACCTTGCTTTGCTAGATGTTTTATGTTGTCACTATCTCTGTCTTGTGCTGCGGCGATCTTATGATAGTCGATTGATGTAGGGCACGTTACACTGTCGATTGGTACGCGACTGAGTGCGTCGGCAACTATGTTGTCCTTTCCACTGATGTGACGTATGTCGGTCGTGAATTCACTTATGAAAATAAGTTGTCTTGCTCTTCGTGGTGTTTCCGATAGTGATGGTTTCTTTGGAAGTACATATGTTAATGGCTTGTGGTCGGTAAAAACGATCAGGTTTCGACCCTCGAACGTTTTTCTGAAGTGCTTGATAGCCATGTAAATAGCGAGTAGCTCTCGGTCAAATGTACTGTAGTTACGTTGAGTATCGGAGAACTTCTTCGAAAAATATCCAAGTGGTTGCCATTTCCCATTGCTGTATTGTTGGAGAACTGCTCCTGCTGAGAGATCGGATGCGTCGCTGAAGATAGCAAGGGTTGCTTCGTGTGATGGGTGAGCGAGTAAAGCTACATTTTGGATCGCAATTTTACAAGCTTCAAATGCCTTCGTGGCTTCATCGTTCCATTCGATTGACGTTTTATCTTTTTTCTTCGTGTTGTGAAGGTAGGCGTGAAGTGGTGCTTGGATTTCAGCGGCTTTAGGTATGTGTTCTCTGTAAAAATTTATCATCCCAAGAAAACGCCTTAGCTCTTCGATAGTTTTAGGTTTTGCATAATCGATGATTGCTCTGACTTTTTCGGCAGGCGGTTTTATTCCTTCCTTGCTGACGGTGAAACCAAGAAATTGAACTTCTTGCTGTCCAAATATGCATTTCGAAGGGTTGATTGTGATTCCGTTGTCTTCTAATCGCTGTAGCACGGTGCGTAGATGGGTTTCGTGCGTTTCTTTATCAGGGCTTGCAACAAGGAGATCATCAATAAATGCGAAAACGAAATCCAGTCCATGAAGTACTTCGTGTATGAATCTTTGGAAAGTTTGACCTCCGTTCTTTAATCCTGGGATCATTCTTGGGAATTCGAATAATCCCATTGGGGTAATTATTGCTGTCTTCTCAACGTCTTCATCGCGGACTCTTATTTGTTGGTAAGCTCGGTTGAGATCGATGGTGGAGAATATAGTCTTGTCTGATAGTTGATGAGTGAAATCCCTGACTCGCGGTATTGGGTAGCGGTCAGGAGTGGTAATAGAATTCAGTCTTCTGTAATCTCCACAAACTCGTAATTCTCCGTTCTTCTTCGGTACAATGTGAAGTGGTGATGACCAAGGGCTTTTGCTTGGACGGCATATTCCTTGCTCAATCATGTTTTCGAATTCCTTTCGAACTTGCTCGTATAGGTGTGGTGCGATTGGACGTGCACGACAATGAAGTGGTGGTCCATTGGTGTCGATGAAATGCTCAACGTCGTTCTTCGGTGTTAATTTCATTGAAGTTATTCTTGTGATACCAGGGTATTCTTCGAGGATCTTGTGATACGGTTGTTGCACATCTATGCTTCTTATTGTGGGCAGATTGGTTGCTTGTACAAAAGACTGAGATGCAAGATTGGTTTTCCCGTCGATGATTCTTCTATTTTTGATGTCGACGACCAACTGGTGATGTTGAAGAAAATCAGCACCGATTATTGGTTTGCTGACTTTAGCGACGATAAATCTCCATTTGAATGGTCGGCGTAGATTAAAATCAAGTTCCATTGTTTTTTCTCCATATGTAGGAATAACCGTATTGTTTGCTGCATAGAGTTGAAAATCTAGTGGCTTCAACTTCTGTCCTTGCTTCGGCGGTAACACTGAGATATTTGCTCCGGTGTCGATAAGGAAAGTAAGCTTGATTTTTTTATCGGTGACGAAAAGACGGTAGGACTTTGCTGTTACGCTGGATCCCGTCGCATCGAGCGTACTAGTTAGTTTTCCGTATTCGTATTTTCATTTTTGAATGTACACGGTGCTGTGCATTTTCTTGCCTCGACCCCAAAACGTCGATGATAGTAGCAGTAAGGGGATCTTGATGTTGAGCTTATTCGACTTCTACTTGCAGAGCGGTTGCGACGAAAAGGTGATCTTCGGTGTTGCTGATTGCGCTGGTTGTACTGTTGCTGGTAAAAGGTATGATGCTGGGAAGCTTTGAGCGCGGCGACTTCGAATGATAGCTTCCGAATTTCTTCGAGAAGAAACTGGGTATCATTGGCCTTTGTTGAAGTGCCTTCGATGATCGATATGTGTGAGCTACTGCTGTTTTCGATCATCTTGTCCGCCAGGAGTGCCAGCTTCGTCTGCGTGCTGAATGTTTCGCTGACTGCTATTACCGATCGAATATGTGGTGGTAGGTGGTTTACCCACATTAGCCGTAGTGTTGAATCCGGAACTTTATCTCGCGCCAAAGTACGCATTTTGCGTAGGAGTTGTGTGGGTTTCTGGTCTCCAAGTTCTATTTCTGATAGAAGTTTTTGTAGCTGTCGACTGTCGGATTCTTCGTATGCGGAGATCAGACGATCCTTCAGTGAATTATACTGGTCGACTGCTGGTGGGTTGTACAACAGGTCCGCAATTTGTTCGATGTCTTGTTTCTCAAGTTAGGCTATCACCATCTGTGCTAATTGCGCTTGGCTCTTCTTTAAACCATTCGTTGCGGCTTCAAAACTGACGAACCAAAGTCGTGGTTTGTCTCTCCAAAACGGTGGTATTCTTAACGATAGAGATATACCGGCGATTTCTGGTTCCTTTACCGGGTTTGATGTATATGTGTTTGCCTCCTGCTCCATAATGACGGCTTGATTACACTGATTTTATATAAACTGAAGTCTTCCTTCTCGGTGTTCGTACGGGTTTCCTTCGCGGTGTTCGTGCAATAGTAGTGGTACGTCGCAGGGTGTTCCTTCTTGGTGTTCGTACCGGATCTTCCCCCTCGGTGTTCGTACGGAGTCACCACTGTAATAGTGGAGACGAACTGTCCACTATTAACAGACTCCGAGTGGTTTTCTTTAAGGTGGAGAAATGAAACTACTGTTTATGTTTATGAATGTACTGTCGAATGGGATTCGGAATGGAATATCTTTTGCAT